TAGCTCGGATAGCATTGCTGGGTTACAGAGAACGCACACCCTTCAGCCGTAACAGATACTGCCAGAGGGTTTTCCAAAGTGCCGTTATCAAGTATTACACTCCCAGAAGCTTTAGAGAGTTCCTCCTTATCCTCGCCAAGCCTGGATTTTGTGAGTTGCCTTACTGGCTATTCTGGCACATGTCCGGTGATTATCTCCTCACTGGGGATTTGACCATGCACGTCCCTCAAGAGTGAGGGTTGAGCAGCTTCTTACTTGTCCGTGTGGTCAGGTCGTTGGATGCCCTATTTGTGGAAGGGTCCTGTTCAAATAGTTTGCCAATTTTTCTTACCTGCATTGCTGTTTCCCTCTTTTGATTGTAGGAGAGATTATATTCTGGACAGCGATGACATTTTGTGGGACATGCATATTGCAGTGTATCAGCTCCTCCCATTCGCAGGGAATTTTCCCTTACTGTGAAATGTGTTTTGAGGGAGTGAAGCCTTATTTTGATGGAAAGTCCCAACAAAAGGACCCATGTTTTCCTCAATCGTTGTGGCTTTTTTTGTGTCCCGTCTCCAATATCTTTGCCTTTGGGTTGCAAAGATACGTCGCTCGTTACTCCTGTTGCTTTAACTTCTGGGACAAATGGATGGCACAAGTCAGAGCCCACAAGTCAATCCATTTGGTCCTGCTTAAGCGCCCAAAACATTGTCCTTCCCCCAGAGCGCGCCAGTGGCACAAGGCGTGTGATTGAGGGGACTGTGCCTGTAGCGGTAGCTTCCTGGTCCCTTCTCTTTGCTCTGTCGGCCTTCTGTTTGTCTGCTCCTGTGCTCAAGCCGTACTACCTGAATTATTATAGCCTCACAGTTAGCCTTGGTATCCTGCCTGTAAAAGTCCTGTTTGCTTGGATTTGTCTGATCTTGGATCTTGTGCCATCCACTTATGTAATTTAGAAGCAGCTTATGGGTTTCCGGTAAAGTCAAAACGACAACGACAACAAGCTGCTGGGAACTGGAGTAGGCTTGGTGACATCCGACTCAAATTAGAAAATTTTCACAAGAATGCTCTCTTCAATTCCCCTTGTGTTCATTTTTTTCTACTACACAAGCATGCTACATCTCTGATTTACGTGAGTCTTCTTTAGTTTCTATCAGCAATGTTACTGTGACTTGTGCTAGAGGTCTTTGTCAGACCTCTGCACCTGTTAGATTCGTTCTTGGGTGTTTGCTGTTTTCTGATGCCATAAGGAATGGTGTTTAAATGTTTTTCTCTTTATAATTTTAACTGACGGAGTATAGAAATTGAATTGAATTTTGTCATAGTGACCATATATCCACTAATCATACTATATTCATTTAGTAATTATAACATTGGATTAGATACATGTTTTTATATCTTTAATGTAAATAATCCGCTGTGTCTCTTTCATTTCTTCAGGAGCCGGAGAGAAACTCTGCCCAAAGACTCTATTTTCACCAACTATGTGACTACTTGGAAAGGAAACCTTTGGTCAGAAAGGGGTGGGAATCAGGAGATAGACGATGATGGGTGAGAATAACTGGTGGAATACCCCTCCCCCAAAATGAGCTGCATTCCACAATTTCTCAAGGGTGTAGCTTTTCTTAAACATAGACTCATAAGTTCCATACTTGAAAACCACACATAGGCTTCTGATGATTATACAACATTATCATGGAAAGTTTAAAACACACACATATCAAACTTTTTAACAATAAATGTGGTGGCTAGCAGGATCTCCTACGATTTAACCTTTGTTTTACAGTTTTTCCAAATTATTTCAAATGCCTTACGGCAGGGGTCTGCCAATCTGGACAGCACTGGCTCAAAGGATCAGATGACTTTCTGATGTAAGAGGCTGCCTTGTGCATTCAGGGAGGTAAGCAACATTCCTAGCTTTGATCCACCCATGCCAGCAGCACCTTCCCCTTCCCCCGGTTGTGATAAGCAAAAATGTCTTAAAACATTGCCAAGTGTCCCCTTGGAGCACAGAATGTCCCTTGGTGAGCACCATATTTGTACGGTGTATGAGATTTTCATATACAAAGAATGCTAGGTGTATAGAAAAATGGACAGACAGATGTAAATGCATATCAGTATGTGATTTTCATTTGCATAACACAGCCACTTTCCAACAGCAGCAAAAGGTATTCGAAAACACCCTGCAAGAGCTGCGTGAGTTTATTTTATGAATATCCACTGTCTTGCTGGAAGTTTAGGGTGCTTCCCATTTTTAAAAATAAGTGACACTACAGTCATCATCACGGTTGATCATGTAACACTGTGGGAAGGTACATACGTATACGCCTTTTCTCGAGATTCAGTGCCCAGAAGAGGAATTGCAGCCTCAAATGGATTTCGTGTGTTATGACTTTTATGTGTCTCAGACAAGTTTCCACCTAGCCAGGCGCTGTGCGTGTTTAACCCCTTCCAGTAGCGTGGAGAGTGCTTCATCTCTCACCACAGCTCAAAGCATAAGTAAACATTAAAAATTAGTTGCTTTCTAACATGTAAATAGCTGTATTTTTCTGCACGTAAGAGTAATCTATGCTTGCCGAAAACACTCAGCATAGACGGGGATGAGGCCAACAAAACATGCTCCTCCGGGAGTTTTTGTTTCCCCGGAGGTCACCAATCCCTGGTGTGTCCCCAGTCTGCAAGTCTTGCCAATTCCAGGAAGTGGCACTCATGTCCACCCAGAGTACTATGGCCAAAAAAGCTGAGAGTCATCACTGATTGCTTCCCTTTCCCTCATGACCTCACGTGCAGTGAAGTGTTCCCAGCTGAGGCCTCAGACGGAGGACATCGGGGGAGCAGACACGAGCCATCCCCACTCTGCCCTGTCTGAATTCCAGCTCTACAGAGTGCCCCGAGCATGACCAAATGGTCATTGTTCCGTGACGCTCTGTTACCGAGTGGTAGATGGCTGGAGCGCATTCTAGCCTCTTCATCCATTCTTCATCGGAGTACATCCGGTGCGTCATCAGTACTTTGTTTTCCGTGTTCCGTTCCATTTTGCCTTTATTCATGGTCTACTCCGCCCTCATAACCTTGTATTCTATACTTCATTCCACTCCATTTCTCACGGAGCAGTGCTTTTATCTGTAGTGCAGGTTTCACAGTCCTTTCAGTTCATGACAGTGCATGTTCTGCTCCTTTCTATGATTCCTTCCCGTTTAATTTTTATTTTCTCCGGTCTTCTTCAATACTCTACTTCACTGCATATTCCATCGCATTCCTTTTCTCACGTCTCATCGCACATGTTTTTATTTCGCACGTTTTCTCACGTCTCAACGGCATATGTGCCGTTGGATACTTGCTTGCACTGCCCCTTCCCATCCCATTTTTCCATTCAGTTTCCACCCTGCTCAATATTCCTTTCTACATCCTGTTCAAGTCCGTATTCCATTTCCTGTTTCATCCCAGTGTCCACTGCAGAGGGTCTCATTTCATCCCTTTCTGCATTCCAACTTCAAATCCACTTTCCATTCCTTATTATTTAATACTCCCAATACCATTGCAGTCTGCCTTGCCTTGCGTTTCACTTCCACATGCTCATCTGCCCAGTAAGCATCCCATTCCATTCAGCCACAATGGCTCGGATAGTGGCTTTCAGGAGAACCTAATCAAAGACTGACAAGCATACGTGGCCTGTACCAAGAATCTTCTTTTCTGGGAATTTGTCCATAACAAGGGCACGATCGAGGACACGGACAATGTTTAGTGAGAAGGGTGTGCCTCACAGTGATGTGTCACAGAGAGTGAAAATTTGGAACGATGTCAATGTTGGAATGTTTGGATTTGTAAGCTCCTTCTGTAAACGGAGTATTTTGTTCTTAAAAGAATGGCCCTGTGGAAATTTATTTACTGACATGGAAAGAGTGTTTTCTGGAGCCCCCAAATCAGGTTATCAGACAATACCTAGGGATAAATGACTCCATGTCATAAAATAAAATAAACTATGAGATATGTGTGAATGGCTTTTCTACCAGTATGTAAGTAAAGGCTCCCTGTCCTTGCTCATAGGTGAGTGAGAATTTAGGTGCCAGATCTCTTACATTTGCTGTTCTGTTTGGGGTATGGAACAGGCAGCCCTTTCATATCAATGATTAAAAATCAGTCTCCACATATTGAAGGTGAAGCCTGTGCATCGCATCATGTTTATATTAACAGAAATAAAAGAGTAGGCCAAATAAGTGGATGTATAATACAATATATTCACCAGCGGATTACTATGCACCCCTTGCAAATGCTGATAGATGTTTAAGGACAGTATCACCCGGAATCTCAGGTGTTGGAGACATAATGCAGGGGGTACATCTTACTGTAAGACTTAACCATCCTACCACCCACACCCCGCCCCATGCCCGTTCCTGGTGGCAGCGCTGAACCTCTGCAGCCAAGACTGTGGGCCCCACCCTTTTTCTCGCCTTCAGGCTGCTCTGCAAACAGACCCTGGTGTCGGGTTGTTCAGATGCCCGGGGGAGTCCTGGGAGCGTCCCCTCTGGGTCACCACGCAGGCGCCCAGTGCCCTGACCAGATTCCTGGGCAGGGACGCCTGGCTCGGGGATATCTCCTGTCATCTGGTGTGGTATTTCTTTGAAGCCGCAGCTTGCGGTTGGAGTCACCACAACCCTGGTGCCGGACAAGCTAAGCTGATTTGGGACGCCTCGAATTGTTTGTACGGACAGCCTCCCAGCCTCTGCTCTCTCCCTCCAAAGCATACCCACTAGGGGGCCGGGGAACGATGGGGAATGCGCTGCACAGAACACCGGAGCGGACTCGGGGGGCGTGGGGAATGCACCCTCGGGTTCCGCGCCGGTTGCAGCGGGGCTGCGCGCGCGCGGAGAAGCTGAGAGTCGTGTGACAACAGCTGGCCAATCCGAGGCTGGGGACTCCACGGGGCCCGCCCAGTCCCTCATTCCTCCACCTCGCACTGTAGGACAAGCAGCGCCCGCCCGGCACCCTCGCTCTCCGGTCTCTGCGGAAAACTCGGAGCCATGGCCACCCAGTCTCACTTGGAGAAGGAGCAGAAGCAACAGCAGGCTGAGGGGCCCCCAGGGCCAAAGAACAAAGTCGTCACTGCCCCTGGCGATGCCCGCGGGACCGGCCACGGCGGCGCGGCCCTGGGTGCCCACGGTCTGGAGCATCTGGTTTCCATCTGGCGGGGGCGCTCTGTTCGGTGACGCAGCAGGTGCCTCCTCCTGTGTCGTGGCCGAAGCTCAGCCGCTGGGGAGGACCCGGGCCGCCCTCCATGCCCTGCGTGCGGGAAAGCGGGTGTCCCGAGCTCCGGGGTGGTCCGAGTCCCCACACAGAGGTGAGCTGTGTGGCGCCCGAGACGGCCCAAGGGCTCCAGACCGCACACTCGGGTAAAGAGGCCGCGGCGGGGCAAGCCGTGAGGGGTGGGGGTGTCCAGGCCAGCGGGCGAGCGACCCACACCACGGGCCCCGCGAACGGCCGTGGGCGGAAGCGGCACAGCCGCAGGAGGGTGGCCCAGGCTCACAAGCTTTTGTGGCGCTGTCTGTTTCCAGAGGCACCTGCGTCTCAGAGCTCCGTGCCTTTGCCGCCATCCTCTCCAAGGGCAGAGCCCAGGAGCCGCCGTTCACCTGGGGCTTCTCCATCGAGTCCCGCGTCGCCGCGCGTCCCGGACCTCCAAAGCCGCACCACCCCGCCGCCAGGCCCTGTCCTTCGAAGCCGCGCCACCCTGCGCGGCCCTGCTGCCTGCTGCTTCTGCGCACCCCGGCAAGGCCGTGCTGTCCGCCGCTGCGCCTCTGTGCCAGGCCCTGCCTCCCGCCCGCGGAGTGCCTCTGCAGCTGCAGGTGCATCTGCGCGAGGCCCCGCACCCAGCTGTAGCCCTGCACGCGCGCCGCCACGTTGTGCTGCCCCGAACCACGCGTCCAGGTCAGGTACCGCTCTTCACAGCCTTGGGTCCGCACCAGGTCCTGCTCGCCGCCGCCGTGGGTCCGCACCAGGTCCTGCTCGCCGCCGCGTGGGTCCGCACCAGGTCCTGCTCGCCGCCGCCGTGGGTCCGCACCAGGTCCTGCTCGCCGCCGCCGGGTCCGCACCAGGTCCTGCTCGCCAGCGCTGCGCATCCACTCCAGGGTCCCTGGCCACAGCCGCTGCGCTCCCGGGCCCAGCGGTGGTCTAGGATGCTCTGCTTCTGCGCCGAGCCCAGCTTCCCGTAGTCGCCCGTCTGAACCAGGCCCTGCCCTCCGAAGCCCCGCATCCGGGCTAAGCCCTGCCCTCCGCATCCGCTCCAGCCCAATAAGCCCAATAATCCCAATAAGCCTTGCCGTCCCCAGCAGCAGCACGACTGCGGGCTTTGTCCCCCAGAGGCGCCCCACCCAGAGCAGGTCTACCCCCAGCAGCCAATCCGCTCTTCCTGAGCCTGCTGGCCAGAGGCCTCCTTCCCCAGGGCTCCCCTCAGGAAGCCTTGTGGTCCAGAGCAGCCCAACCTCTCCTGCTCTCGGGGCGCTAATCCTTCCTTCCCAGCCACGCTGGCGTGCAGTCCGCTGCGTGCCTCTCTCACCAGCACCTCCGGGTCGCCTCTATCCTCCCCTGGCAGGTTTGTTGAGAATCCCCTCCTCCTCTGCTTCTTGCCCATCCCCCGCAGCGCCCCCCGACCCTCGGCCAATGAGTTTCCTGACCAGGGCCCCTCATCTCCCCCCACTAACGTTTCTGGCCACAGCTCCTCCTCCTCTTCCCCTAATTTTCATGACCTGGCCCTTAGCCCTGCTAGCCTGAGAAGAGCCTTGCTCCTGGAGTTTGATCCTCTGAGCCCTGCCTCTCCAGGAGAGCAGGCTGAAATCTGTTTCAGCATGCATGACTCCCCCACACCTCCCCCCAGGTGAGCTGTGACCCTCCCTGAGCAGCCTCATAAGACCCAAGAGGAATCAGCCCCCACCCACTGCGCTGAATGGGCTGCCTGCTCTGAGGTCACCTGTGAGGTTTGGTGGAGCTCTGTTAGCCAGCCACCAAGCTTCTATGAGTTTTGAAGCCTCCTCCTCCCGGAGACTCCACCGCCTAGCACTTACCCGCTGTTGGCCCTCGATTCCAGGCCCTCTTCTCCCTCCAAAGGGCCCTGCTTTGCCCCTGAGTTGAGACTCCCCTTTTCCAGGTTGCCTCTCATACAATGAATCTTTGACAAATGAAATAAAAATGTTGGCTTTATTCTCTTAATGCGTTATGGTTTTCCACTGAGGGGAAAGGGCTTGTGGTTTGTCCCTACCCACTTAATTTGGGGATGTGGGGGGATGAGTTCGAATCCCAATTTGTTGTAAATGCTCTACATTCACTCAGTTTTGTGGTTTGCTATTTAATGCTTTGCTTTCTGTGTGGGTGTTTGGTCAGGTATAAAAACTGTGCAGCCACCACTGCCCCCGCCCTCCCCAGAATGCCCATCGCCTAGTATCTTTACTCCTGGACATGGTGCTTGCCCCACCTGGGCGTTTCCCCAATGTCTGATGACAGGGAGTGTCTATAGTCAGCCCCTCCCCTCGGTAGCTCCCAGAAGAACAGGAAGGGATTCACCAAATGCACCAACAGACTGAGGTGGAGAAAAAAATGAAGCTCGGGAAAGAGACCGAGGACATATTGGGCATGCCATTAGAAATGTGGGAACTAAAGGGACTGTTTCCCAGGACACTGATTTTAAAACTCAGTGCATACTTATTCTTGAATAACCCGACGGACGTCCAAATACTAGAATAAGAAGTAGATCTTTCTAACCGCACCAAGTCTCACAACCTCAGTTCAGAGAGCCTACATTTCTGCCCAGTTTACAGACGTCACAATTGAGGCTCAGAGCGACTTTGTGACTTGAGATCTTGTTGCCTCTGGGCCTTGGCCCTGGAGTCAGAATTCTGGTTTTCCTACTGACTCACCGTGTGTTCCCGGAAGAGCTAGTGCGTCCGGCATCCTAGGTTTCCTCGTGTGCCAATCAGGCGCCGTGAGAGTGGATGTTTCCTAGAGTGTGCGAAGGATGAAAGCGGATGGCATGTGTTAAGCTAAATAAACTGTGTTGGTTCTGTGTTACACCTGAAGGATTAAAATAGGGTAACCGGTAAAGTAGCAGGATCTTTGAAAGGGGAATGGAGGAACATGCTGTCCCATTAACCATTTCCTTTTTCCCCACTGGGCCTCACAAAGTATGTAGCTTACCCTGACACTTCACGTATTAGAATTTTTTAAGGGAAATGACACGAAACAGTGCCCCAGAAAAGCGTGGATAAAAGCAGGCGATACTGTCGTGAGAGGGAGCTGGGGGTAATGCACAGTGCATGTGCACTGGGGTCAGGCAAAAACCTGGGCTTGAAAACTGGCCCCGTCTCTGCCGGCCTGTCCGACCTTGAGCAAGCTACACAACCTCTCCGACCCTCCGTGTCCTCTGCTGTGAAGCGGGGAGCACAGACAGTGTCTACTGGACGATCGCTTCCTCGGAGGGGGAGCCTTTCCTGACCCTGGCCTCGGATCCGGCCAGCTGTGGTGGCATAAATGGTCTTTGTCTCTGTTCCTAACGTCCCCTGCTCCTGAGAGGGACAGGTGTGGGTCAGGATTACCGACCGGCAGGGTCAAGCATGTCCGCTCAACTAGCAGAGGAATTGTCAAATACACAGCGGCTCCTGCAAACCCACGGGGAGACGGGAGTGCAGGCCAGGACACTGTTTGGCTGCTCTGTAACACTAGGGCCCGGCTGCAGCTTTCCCGGCCCGGGTCCAGAGGGCACCCATGCCCAGCATGGCTCTCCCAGGAAACGGAGGGCCAGCCACAGGACGAGGCCAAGAGGCAGGCAGGCCCCTCCACGGAAACCTCCCATGGTTCAGAGGTGGTGGTTGGTCTCTGAACTTGAAATCCCTTGGGCTCATCAATGTTTACTGTCTTCTTGCTCTTTCAATTCACCACCAGTGAAGAGGGAGCCAGTGGAATCCTCGGCCCCACCCTCAATCCCTATTAAAGCAGGTGGCTGGCCTAGCTCTCTGCCTCTCTCTGCCTCCCCATCTGTCTCTCATCTGTCTCTCATCTCTGTGTGGCCACGGGTGGGCTCTAGCACTTCCTCATCTTCTAAGTAATACACCTGGATCGTCTCGGTTCCATGAAGGTCTGTACCAAGGTCCAGTCCAACCAGGACACGGAGTACTGACAGACTGAGATGGCCAAGAAGCACCCCCCGAGTCTGGCCTCCCAGCACGGACTAGTTGCTCCAGACTGGTGCTGGGGACATCTGAACGGATGGCTAGAGGAGGGGGGTCATAAGGCCTTGCAGTAAGGGGGGGGTGAGGGACAAATGGAGGAAGAGGGCGGGGGATTTCAGGGGAGGGGTCAGGCCACTTGTATGAGAGCACGTGTGTGAGAAAATGTCTCTGACGTTCCTTTGCGTGTGTGCCTTTGTAAAGTTCAGTACACGTTTTATGGACATTGGAGCTCATGCAGGGACAAACACAAAGAGCTATCCAGGCATAGAAATGGGATACATGTCAGGACTTGTACTGATTCCGTTTTAAACAGGTGAAGGCATGGACATTGCAGCAGGCACAGTGAGTATTGAACAATTTCGAAACCACTGCTTAGCTGATCCCCCACGACTTTTGACCATGTTAATTACCACACTTTTGGAAAACTCTGCATTTTATTGTATGACAAGCCAACAGTAGCCAGAGTACACCTAAGCCATATTCTGATTTTCGCCACCGCCCAGGCACACAGGCTGCAGGTCCTGCTGACCACGGGCACCGCCCCCACAGCCGCCCCCGCTGCTCTTCCTGTCCCGGCAGCAATCGGATGCTCTGCTTCGGGAGGAGGACTTGCTTCCCCTGGCTGAGCATCTGTACCAGCAGGCCCTGCCCTCCGAAGCCCTGCATCCCGGCCATCCGGGACGGACAGAGAGCATCCTCTGAGCAAGGTATGTGTGCAGTGTTTGCAGTAACTAGTGATGGGGTCTTTTCTTCATGTTTTGCACATTCTTTCTTTGTAGGGGAAAGGGAGGGAGAAAGAGGGGGAGAGAAACATCAATGTGTGTGGCCTCTCATGCACCCCCTTACTGGGAACCTGGCCCACAACCCAGGCATGTTCCCTGACCGGGAATCGCACCAGAGACACTTTGCTCCGCAGCCCGAGCTCAATCCACTCACTCGCACCAGCCGTGGCTGCGTTTTCCACCATGACCCTATCGCTAGTTGTGGAAGGGAGACTCAACTCACCCAATTCTCTGAGATTGCGTGGAAACAGAACGAGACTTCCGGCCAAGACACAGGCGCAGGTGAACACAATGTGCCCTCCTCTCACAAGCTAACGTAAGGACAACAAAAATTTAGAAACAAAGAAACAACCAAAAGACAGGAAACTGAACTGTATGGAGGTCCATCAACCATTCATCCGGCCTAGTAAGAGGGGTGGAGTCGGGGCCAGCAGAGAGGGGCGCGGGGGGGGGGGAGGGTGGGCCGACCCGGGGCATGCAGGCGGTGACTAGTGGACCCCCGGATGCGGGGAGGCAACCAGCAGACCCCGGGGAGGCCCACAAGGCAGAACGTAGACAAGTCCACCCACCGGGGAACCAGCACCAGAAGGGCCCAGTTTGTGTGGGAATAGGCAGAGGGCACTGAAACCCAAGGGAGAGCAGAGCAAGCACCATTGTACCCTCTCTGATCCCGCCCCCCACAGACAGCACACAACCCAGCCACCGGGCAGCGCAGCCAGCCCAGGGGAGCAGCTGAGGCTCCGCACCTCACTATGTAACAGGTGTGTCCAGACCAAAAAAAAAAAAAAAAAAAGACTCAAACGCAAGAACAAATCAAAGCCCCAGAGCCAATACTTTTAAGAGACCAAGCGATGGCCAACCTATCAGATGCACAGTCCAAAAACACTGGAGATCAGGATGCCACAGAACTCAGAACGGGTTGATTTTAGTCACAAATTCGAGGAACAAATGAAGGCCAAACTAAGTGAAATGAAGCAAAAGGCACAGGGAACCAATAGTGACGGAAAGAAAATGGGGACTCAGATCAATGGAGTGCACCAGAAGGAAGCAAGAAACAACCAAACAGAAAAGAATGAAGAAACAAGAATTCAAAAGAATGAGGAGAGGCTCCGGGACATCTTTTAAACATCCCAACATCCGAATATAGGGGTACCAGAAGGGGAAGAGGAAGCGCAACAAGTGGAAAACTTATTTAAACAAATAATAAAGGAGAACTTCCCCCATCTGGCAAAGGCAATAGACTTCCAGGAAGTCCAGGAAGCCAGAGAGTCCCAAAGAAGGTGACCCTAGGAGGAACACACCAAGGCCCATCATAAACATTAGCCAAGATGAAAATGAAGGACAGAATTGGAAGCACCAAGAGCTAAGGGGACAGTCGCGACAAAGGAGCGCCCACAGACTGTCAGCGATTTCAAAAGAGACCTTACAGGCAAGAAAGGGCTGGAAAGAGAATCCAAGTCGTGAAAGGCAAGGACCTCCATCCAAGATTGCTCTATCCAGCAAAGCTTTCATTTTAGAATGGAAGGGCAGATAAAGCCCTTCCCGATAAGGTCAAGATCAAGGAGTTCATCATCACCAAGCCCTTATTATAGGAAATGTTAAAGGGGCTTATCTAAGAAAAGGAAGATAAAAAAGGAACAGAAAGACAGCAAATCACAGTTAAAACAACCACACCAAAACACAAGCAAACCAAAACAAACAAGGGAACAGGAACAGAACCACAGAAATGGAGACCACAGGAGGGTAGCAAGAGGGGAGGGGAGGAGGAGAGTGGGGGGGGGGGAAAGGTGCAGAGAATAAGTAGCATAGACGGTAGAGAGAAAAACAGACAGGGGGAGGGCAAGAATAGTGTGGGCAATGTATAAGCTAAAGAACTTGTGACAATGGACGTGAACAAAGAATGGGGGGAGGGGGGGGGGGAGGGGAAGAAGGGGGAAAGGGACAACGCAATGGCAAGCAAAAAACAAAAACAGCGGGAGACCGCGGAAAGGAAGGGCGTAATACCTATGAATGCCACATTAGCAAAAGGGACTCCCTTGGCCACTTTCATATTTCTCCATTTGTCCTGCCTTTGTTTTTGCGGTGTGTGGCCGGGAGTGGCATTGGCCCGGCAAGAAGGGCCCTATTCCTGGGCCCCTGTTTTAGAGGTTCCCGCCAGGTCCTTGTCAGCTAAACAGAGCTAAGAGTACAACAGAACTGCCTATGCAGACCACAGAGCTAAGTGTCCACGGGACCAATGGAATGGGCCCACCAGGCCCCAACGCCCTAAAGCTTGTGTGGAAAACGGTTCAGCTTCCCTCTTTCCCCAAGGCTGCCTCCAGGTCCAGTAAGGCCCTCTTCTCCTTCCTAGCCAAGGGTAGTCTGGGCCTATGGTATGTATAGTCTTTGGCCCAAAGGGCGGCCAAGTGGCCACTGTTTGTGGAAGCAAAGGGTAGACAAAGCTTGGAGGTGGGAGGCTGAGGTGCTCTCAGGGTTAAGTGTGAGGCCCTTTGGGGGGTAGGACGAGCTGGCACTGGGAGGGAGATCAGGACAGGGCCAAGGGCCTGCCTTGGTACCTCTGCCCCAGGCTCGCTGCAAATGTCAGCGACTGGCCTGTCTGTATAATTAGCTCTGTAGCCCAGCCCCAGAGAGTCAGGCACACCAGGGAAGCGAGAAAGCCAACCGTGTCCCTGGAGGAGGGGTGGCTCTGACCACACCACACAAGCCCAAGCGCAGGCGGAGAGGAGAGCAAGAGTTTAGGCCCCAGCTTGGGTACCTCCTGCAGCGAGCCAGGCAACCAGTGGGCTGAATCAGAGATGCCCCACCCACTTACCACACGCTAATGCTTTTGTTTGTCTCCTGTGTATTTAATGGGCTCGGGGTGCACTAATCCAATGCCCTTCAGTCAAGCCCCCAACACAGTCTACCAGCTGTTTCCTTCCCTGACCTTTGGTCCTTCCCAACTCCCCCCCCAGGAAGGTACCAAATGTCATCACACGACAGACCTCCGTACCATGGAATGCGACAACGCTTCTCAGATTTCATCTTTCCTGACCTTTGGACAGCCTTGGACATAGCATTCCCCCCTCTTTCCTTGATACTTGTCTTCCTACGTGCTGAAAGACTGCTCTCTTTGTGCTCACCCCCCACTCTCATAGACCATTCTCCTGTTCCACACCCTAAGTGCTGTGGTATTTGTTTTAATTCGGTGGGTTTTTTTTGGAGGAGGGAATTTATTTATTTATTTATTTATTTATTTATTTATTTATTTATTTATTTATTTTTAGAGAGAGGGGAAGGGCAAGAGAATGAGGGGAGAGAGACATCATGTGTGGCTGCCTCTTGCACACCCCACACTGGGGACTTGGCCAGCAACCCAGGCATGTGCCCAGACTGGGAATCGGCAGAGACCCTTTGGTTCACAGCCCACGCCACTCACTGAGCCACACCAGCCAGGCCCGGTTGGTTCTTCTTCCACCCATTTCTTTCCTAGGAGGTCCCATCTGTCTCATGTTTGAAAAGACAGATAGTCCCTGCTTTTCAAAAGTTTGTGTTTCGCCACTTGCTTTTCATTGTTTCGCTTTGCTTTCAGGCAAGACCTACACGGGACCCGGTGTCGCGAACTGAAAGACGTCGGAAGAGGATCTTTGGTTTGCAATGAGTGGTAATTACTTCTTCACTTAGGCCATCTCAGCCTAGGAAAGGTTTCCCGGGAATGCTCTGCATTCCAACAGTGGGGCAACCCGTCGGGGTTGAAACGGATGCGTCCAAATACCGTGTGTACCACTGCCACCCGTCCCCTTTTACTCCGGTCATGCATACATCCGGCTACTTCGCTGACCTCTCCACTTGTCTAAAAAGCATCTCGGGCTGCAGTAATATGGAGCTCTGCCCGGTAGAAATAGAATGTGCAATTCCGCACATGGAATTGACCATTTTCTCGTGGCCGGGTTTTCAAAGGCATTCACATGACACTCACGGTAATACTTGATTTCATTCCATGTGAGCCAAAATAGTCTGTCACCAATAGTCTGAACCTCTGTAAAAACCACTCATGAGATGTTCTCCATGTTTTCTCGCTAAGTCTTTAACACGTGGCGTGTAACTCGGACTTACAGCCGACCTCAGTTCTGACTAGCCACATTGCAAGTGATCAATAGCCAGAGCTGTGGACGTGTGTGTACGGCACAGCCTTAGACCTGCTTCCCTTCGTCCCGCTCGTTCATCTCCTGGAGCTGTGAACCCACCCCCAGCAGTTTCTCTTGTTGGGCCCCTGTCACGTAAGGCTTGCTGAGGGATTTAGGAAGGGCTTCTAGGGGTGCTACCGGGTCCTCCGGGGACCATGGCAGGAACAGAGGCAGTGCAGATGATCGCACCAGTGGAGAACGCCACGTGCCCATGGGACCTTGAAGGGAGGCGGGTGGGCAGCTTTAGGAACTTCGCCCGCTGGTAGGTACGGTACCTGTTGGCCGGAGGAGGCAGCACTGCCAGGCGTGAGCAGATGGACTGGGGGCAGGATACGCCAGGGCGGTCCCCACCTTGCCCTCTCCTCCAGCTGTGCGTGTTTCATTCCAGGCCTGGCGTGTTTTAGTAGGGGCCGGCCTGCAGCAGGACGAGGGGTGCCGGTGGAGACTGAGCAGTTCCTGCTCACCTCCGAGGACGGTGAAGTCACTCACCCACACAGGCGGATGTCCCGTCGCGCAGTCCTATGCGTGACCCGTCTTCCTGGCGTGATGGGGCTTGGTGTTCTTGGCAGCTTAGTGTGTTGGTCCACGGCGAGAGGGGGGCAGTGGCTGTTTCCCCAGATTTACACACCTTCACAGTAGAAGGTGCCCCGGGAGGGGTCCCCAGCCCGGTCGGTATATGGGGCAGCAGTCTCTACCGGTTGGCCATTCCAATGGATCCAAGCCGGGGACAGTACTTTGGTCCTCCTAGCCCAGG